GTATTTGTGTTGCTGTTCCTTCCCTCATGATTATTTCTTTCTTCATCCACCCCTCCTCTAACTTTTCTACTCCCTCCTCCTCTCCCTCTCTCTCTCTCAGACTCCTGACACTCAGCTAAAAACACTTTTGTTAACAGCTCTCAGTCAGTACCGGCGACAGCTCCAAGTGTTGAAGAAACAAACAGGAAATTAACTTTTCATGGTGTAACAGGGAGCAACTGCCAAGAGAGCTGATTGGTCAAAAACAACTTGTAAAAAAAATAAAAGAAATCCTGATAATTCCCCAAACGTTACGTCTTACGGAGCGTCCACACAGCAGCGTTAAAAAAATCTTGAAATGCTTCTGCCCATTCACTTTGAATGGGGTGACGTCACTTTCCCTCACTTTTCGCCGAACTGCATTGTGGGCAGGCGAGCGGAGATTTTCAGGATTTTGAGGATTCAAAGTTGAGCAATGTTCAACTTTTGAAGCTGAGGTGGAAGCGGCAGCCAATCAAATCCCGTGTACGCAAATCTGGCAGTTCAAGCTCTAGCCAATCAAACGGCGTGTATGCTGGGAGAGACATACCGCAGGTCATTTCCTCATATTCCAAAACATGGAGGAGAAATTAGCGGTAGGGAATCACCCGGTGCTTTATGACCCGTCCCTATTTACCTACCGGGATACAAACCGGAGGAGCCAGGCATGGAGGGAGGTGGCAGAGACAGTGGTAGGTTTTCGCCTGTTTTGGGAGTTTATATCCAGTTTACTTCGGGCTATTTTGCTTCGTATGTCGCGGGCGGGAGATTCATGTGATTGGTTGTTCGCAAAAAATCCCCAAGCCTCAGATACGCCCACCTCCAAGATTTTTTTAACGCTGCTGTGTGGACGTACCGTTACACACAGGTGATATTACACAGAGAGCTAGTTAGTGTTGCTTCCTCCTTTTTGTTTAATCAGCTCACAAGTTGATTAAAGTTGTTTACGATCAACAGTAACCCTGAGGATGACGGGACATCATCGCTTTACTGTGGTTTCCTGTGATTTATTGTTTTGATTAATGTTTGTATTGAACACAAACACTACAATTCACAAGCAGGCAATCCAAATAAATAATTTTTTTTTTTTTTTTTTAAAAGGACAAAAATACATATACACGTCCACAACTATGCATAACACATTATCTGTTTCTAACTTGTTCACAGCCTTAATTCACACACACACACACACACACACACACACACACACACACACACACACACACACACACACACACACACACGTTTGTTTCTGGGTGGCAGCCAGACAGCATATATTAACATGAGATGGAAATCATTATTTTTCACATCTGGATTATTTTCCGTGTGCATCAGGCTGCCATATTGTTCATACTGTGAACACTAATTAATGTTTTTTATCATATATTTTACTTACAATTTATATTTTCTATTTATGATTCTTGACTTTTGCATCTGAATGTGTGAAACAACCTACGTACTGTAGTAGGAATGACAATAAAGAGTCTAAAAATACATTCTTTTAACACACATTACTATTATTTCTACTTTTCATTCATTGTTATGTCAAAGTGATGCTTTTCGGCTCACTGCATATATTTGTTGTATTCTTTTTGACAAATGTAAGCCATAAGAAAATAACATTTGACTATTTCCAATAAACAGTATGTGCTGAGGTATATATTGTAGATACATAATGTATAGGATGCATAACTGATACAAAACCAAATCTGTGTTTCCCAGTTCATTTTCCCTTCAATTGACATTCAGATACTTTTCCGAAAAATGCCAAATCTGCTAGATCTTATATATTCAATGTTGACATGCCCCAACTGGAACAGAGGCCTGTACTACGAAGCTGGATTTTCGCTTAGCCAGCTAAATTCAGGGAAAGCTCGGGCTTTCCGGTCCTACGACGCTGGTTCTCTTTTTAGCAGGCTAGATTTCCATGGTAACTTATGCTGAGCGGCAAACCTGCTCCGGAGCAGGTTAGGTGGCAGGCTAAGAGATCAACTCAGTGAAAGCACTGCCTGCTGACCAATCAGAGCTCCGTGTGCGGAGTTTAAAGCGATCAATTCATATTACAGGATAGAGGAAATACAGAAAAACTGCCGTTGCAGGAAAGACGACCGGCCAAAATCAACTGACTGTGTGAACGTGAAAATGAATAGAATATCCCCTCCCATCTTCAGAGCAATCTGACTATTATAACATTAGCGTTAAGAAAGCTTACTTAAATATCTGCCACGACATAAGTAACCGGATCAGAGTAACATTACGTACAGTCCGCGGCACTGTGAGTGCAGACGTTGATGTGTCCCATTATCATTCATATCATATCACATCATAATGTATCATATATCTCCTTATCTGAGTCAGCTGAGCCGTATCTGGCCGTGCAACACTCACAGTGTCACATACTGTATGCAGAAGTATTATTTTAAGCAACACATTAAGTTGACAAAACACTCGAGTCAAATGTAATTAAAGTCAGATCGTGTCTTGGACGGGGCAGTGATATCATAAACCTGTTAATGTACGCATTCAAACACTTTCTCTGTTACCAGCTGTATTCACCTTGCAGGTGCAGCTATGTGGCTTTGATCCTGGATAAAGTGTTTAAGTCATGGATGTTTAAAGTTTAACTTCCTCATATTTGACTAATATTAAAGTTCACTTTTCATTCAGGAAGTATGACGCTGCGCTGTCAGTACGCTTGTCCATGTTTGAGATTGGTCGAATGCTCCAGATACCACCCCTTTCATGTGAACGCGCACCTAACTAGATAGGACACGGCTGGCTTGAGCGATCCACTTGATATCCAGCGTCGTAGTACTGCTTAGCCGAGAGCGCGTATGTTTTGGATTAGGCCAACCGGCTAACTCAAACATATCCAGGTTATGTTGAACCAGCTTCGTAGTACAGGCCTCTGGACTTAAACACCCCCGAACCCCACACACACACACACACACACACACACACACACACACACACACACACACACACACACACACACACACACACACACACACAGACACACACACACACACACACACACACACACACACACACAGACACACAGACACACACACACACACACACACACACACACACACAGACACGCACACACAGACACTGATAGACATAAAAACACACACACCCAGTCCAATGACTGACAATCACACACCTACATGTTGGGAGACATAAAAAGATTCTCACACACACATGCAGACACACACATGCCTGCACATGGACAAATATGGACGGGCATCAAATAAATATGGCGAGGACACACACAGTGATTCACGCACACACTCATGTAGGAGTGTGTGTGACGTGGATCGTGTGATGGCGACACATGGGCAGGTCTGAGCATCAGAACAGAGAGTGTGTGTGTCGTGATGTTGTGAGGCTGTGGGATGTCGCAGGTCAACAAGTGTGACCTCCGTGTGACGCCCCGACAACACACACACACACACACACACACACACACACACACACACACACACACACACACACACACACACACACACAGCACCAGACACTTTCTACGCTGCTATGGACAGTCTTTTGCACTAATGTACAGTTTATGTTAGAAGTGACTTTTATTTTGTATATATTGACTGTTATTTATGTATTTTAATGTGTGCATATGTATAAATGTGTCTGTTGAGAATGTATGTGTATACATATTTGTACAGTATATATATTTATGTGTATTTTTTTTTCATTCCTCAGGATTGTGGGAAACAGTATTTCGATCTCTCTGTCTGAACACACAAAAGATTGGCAATAAAGTTGACTTTGACTTTAATAACATCCCATGTTTACTTTAAACTCAATCTGAACACAAATCATGTTCTTTAGCAATAGAGTGTTGCAAGAAAGAGTCCTAAAGCCCACTAATTAGTCAGCAATTTACCGCTTCTGGTCTCAAAGTCGATGTTTTTTTTACGTGTTTTTGGTTAGATGCTGAAATAAAGTCTGCAGTGGGATGGAGCCCTAAGTTCTGTGTCAGCCTATGAGAATACGTCATTGCTGCACCACTCTAAAGTTCACACATCCTTTACTCAAGTAGAAGTACAGATACTGGTGTTTAAAAATACTCTGGTGAAAGTAGAAGTACTGACTAAACTTCTTTACTCAAGTCAAAGTAAAGAGGGCTTTGAAATGTACTTCAGTAAAAAGTACCCATAACTAGCAGCTGTTTTAAAGAGTACCTGACCTCCCTTTATATTAATAGAACAATAATGTCATTGTTAGCTAATGAATGTTTCCATGCTGAACAACGGCAACATGACAACGTTTTCATTGGTCCCTCTTCTTTAGAGAAGACCAGGAAATGATGGATACACGGATCGTGTTCAAATCAATAGGCACGCAATGACTCTAAATAATAATGATCACGCCACCAAACACACATTCAAACTAAAGGAACCAGCCTGTTTGGGAAATGTGAGAAGTAGAAAGTACAGGTATTTGGGTTCAACATGTAAGAAGTAGAAAGTACAGGTATTTGTGTTCAACATGTAAGAAGTAGAAAGTACAGGTATTTGTGTTCAACATGTAAGAAGTAGAAAGTACAGGTATTTGTGTTCAACATGTGAGAAGTAGAAAGTACAGGTATTTGTGTTCAACATGTGAGAAGTAGAAAGTACAGGTATTTGTGTTCAACATGTGAGAAGTAGAAAGTACAGGTATTTGTGTTCAACATGTGAGAAGTAGAAAGTACAGGTATTTGTGTTCAACATGTGAGAAGTAGAAAGTACAGGTATTTGTGTTCAACATGTGAGAAGTAGAAAGTACAGGTATTTGTGTTCAACATGTGAGAAGTAGAAAGTACAGGTATTTGTGTTCAAAATGTAAGAAGTAGAAAGTAAAAAATGGTCAGAAAAATAAGTAGTGGAGTAAAGTACTGATACCAGAAACATGTACTTAAGTACAGTAACGAAGTATTTGTACTCCACTACTTCCCACCTCTGGTTATAATAAAGTCCAGCTACCTGACAGCACGGCCTCCACCAGGTCTCCCTCCTGGATCTGAGAGGCGGAGCGGAGCAGCTGCAGCACGTTCTCAGAGGTCTGGTCATGACGAAACAGCAGGATCTTCTCGTACATCCCATAGAAAACACACTCTGGTATCTGACGAGACAGAAAACAGAGCACTGAGTGGACAGAACACAGTGACACATTATCAACCAGCACCCAGAGAGAAACATCAGCTGTATAACAAATGTATTCAAAAAACCTTCCAGATGCAGCAACAAAAAACTTCATTTGAATTTTACTGGAAGATCAAAGTTTAACACGCTTTCAGACCAAAACATTACATCAAAATAAATTATATTTCATCTTAAAGGGGCTCTATTTTGCATATATCAGTATGTAGTGTCTCTACTTTAAAGAGTCCTCTCCTGCTGATGTTCAGGTGTATATCAGTATGTAGTGTCTCTACTTTAAAGAGTCCTCTCCTGCTGATGTTCAGCTGTATATCAGTATGTAGTGTCTCTACTTTAAAGAGTCCTCTCCTGCTGATGTTCAGGTGTATATCAGTATGTAGTGTCTCTACTTTAAAGAGTCCTCTCCTGCTGATGTTCAGGTGTATATCAGTATGTAGTGTCTCTACTTTAAAGAGTCCTCTCCTGCTGATGTTCAGGTGTATATCAGTATGTAGTGTCTCTACTTTAAAGAGTCCTCTCCTGCTGATGTTCAGGTGTATATCAGTATGTAGTGTCTCTACTTTAAAGAGTCCTCTCCTTCAGAAAGCTCTTTATTTTTCTCTGTGCTGCAGCACCTCTTTTCACCCTCTGTCTGAAACCAGAGCCCAGTCTGCTCTGATTGTTTAGCTGGCCGGCTCTGTTGTGATTGGTCAACCGCTTAGAGATGTCCCGCCCCTTAGCCTATCACGTACAATATGTTGGAGCTCTATTTCTTACAGTTGCTTTAATTCATACTTTATTAGAAAAGTGCTGATTTTATATACATTCATTCACACGTATGTACCATGTTCGTATATATATACAAACTAACTCATGAGTAAATGGTAAAGGCAGACTAAGGCACGCACTGCAATAACTTCTAAGTTTACATTTTTGCTGGACATTTGTAAAATAATAACCAAAATCATTATTTTATTGAAGACAGTTTTATTTTAAATCATACTTAACATAACAATGCTGTAGCAAAGTAACCGGCTTACCCTCTCATTCACACGTGTGGAGTTTCAAACAGAACAACAGAAAACTGTGGCCTTTAAGTAGAGAATCAATCATTGAAAAACATCTGTGCTTAATTGGACCGTAGCGTGTAGTGCATGCGCATAGGTGACAATCTTTTCTAGCTATTAAAAATGTAATTGTTTAGGGCTCCAGAGGTCAGAAATAGTAGAATATGTTGACCTATTTGATTTATTGTGTTTAATTATTTTTGAAATACACTTTGAATACATTTGGAGGTAGTTAGAATTACAATATTTAAGTTTATAAATAGTTGATTGGCCTAAGGGGAGGGGCTTAACAAATATAAACCTGATATATAAAAGTGATTTTTGGTTAGCTTTATGTGTTAATGTTTATTTTCTCTTTGTATTTTGGACTGGACGTCCTTGTGACTTCGTTTTTTCAGCCTTTTTTGCTGTGAAAAAAGCACTCAAGTACACAAATGTCCCAATGTCTATCTATCTATCTATCTATCTATCTATCTATCTATCTATCTATCTATCTATCTATCTATCTATCATTAACTATCTGTCTGTCTGTCTGTCTGTCTGTCTGTCTGTCTGTCAGTCAGTCAGTCAGTCAGTCAGTCAGTCAGTCCGTCCGTCTGTCTATCTATCTATCTATCTATCTATCTAAATTAACTATCTGTCTGTCTGTCTGTCTGTCTGTCTGTCTGTCTGTCTGTCTGTCTGTCTATCTATCTATCTATCTATCTATCTACATTAACTGTCTGTCTGTATGTCTGTCTGTCTGTCTGTCTGTCTGTCTGTCTGTCTGTCTGTCTGTCTGTCTGTCTGTCTGTCTGTCTGTCTGTCTGTCTGTCTGTCTGTCTGTCTGTCTGTCTGTCTGTCTGTCTGTCTGTCTGTCTGTCTGTCTGTCTGTCTGTCTGTCAGTCAGTCAGTCAGTCAGTCCGTCCGTCTGTCTATCTATCTATCTATCTATCTATCTATCTATCTACATTAACTGTCTGTCTGTCTGTCTGTCTGTCTGTCTGTCTGTCTGTCCGTCTATCTATCTATCTATCTATCTATCTATCTATCTATTTTTGTCTGACTCTAAACATCTTATTAATTCCTTAGTTATTGAAACGACACTTTTTATAACAACGTGCACATGCAAACAAACAGAAGGTTATAGGTGTCAGATTTATTTATGTAAATCATGGGCTGTGATTATTTTATTACGATAAACCTGAAAAAATTTGAGCCATTCCTTAATTCTGGTTGTGCCAATAAGCAAATCTAAATTACAGAGTGATCGAGAGAGAGAAGAAGAAAGAATACACTTTGATCTTGATCAGCAGAGGAATAAATAATTCAAATTATCATCAGGAGCTGATGGACAGAATAATTTAAGAGAATAAATTAATGCAAAAACAGTAATGTAGTGCATTTATCAGAAAGTGAACTCTATTA